CACCTCTTGTAATATTCCTGATTCCTTAGGGCTATCTCCTTTGCTTTCTACCTTGTTGTTCAGCCCATATACAGCTGAAGTGCAGACCTGGCTCTGGCTGTTTGTCACAGGAGACATCCCCCTCCAGATACTGGTTTTCTGGCTATCTCAGTGAATGTGGTAGCTCCCTAATCCTGTTGTGGTGGTCTCTGGCCTCCATGTGCCCAGGGCAGGTGTTTCTCTGTTCTTGAGGGACTCCAGCATGATCACAGAGTGGTCCTCAAAAGCCAGTGGGCCAGGCAGTGGTAGCTCACATCCATAATCCTAGCTACCCAAGAGACTCAGACCTAAGGTATGAGGCTGAGGAAATCTCAGGCAGACAAAACCAATTAACCAGCAAAAAGCTGGAAATGGGGTTGTGTTTGGTTAAATTGGTAGAATGTCAGCCTTTAGTGAAAAAGCTAAGCAAAAGTAAACAGGTCCTGACTTTAGCATGAGTATGTGTGCGTGCACATGCACACACAGAGACACAGGGCTCAATGGTAAAGGACTTGGATTTTGGGGATCCTGATTGCCATCATCTTTTGTGGCTCTCCCCCAAGGTCTTTTGCATGTTGCCCCTACGGGGTTGAGTACAGCCCTTACCTCTGTGAAGTCACTGCACTTGCCTAAGTCTGCCCAGTGCCTCTCCAGTGCTCAGGCTGCAGCCCTGTCTTGAATCCACTGCTTGAGGTCTATATTAGCCTTTCCCACATTCCCATTTCTCAGAGCTCTGTGGGGTCTCCTGCATGCTGGACCCAGGTTTAATGGGTGCACACAGGTGAACAAATAATGAGTGATGGACTTCCATGGTGATGGGAACTTCTGGCAGCACTGAGTGATGACACAGAGCTGTCCAGGAGGCCCTGCCGGGACTGCAGCAAGAACACGACTGCCCAACCAAGCCCACCAGCTGCCCCTGCTCTCCTGTGTGTGAGCAGGAATGTACAGGACTCAGCTCAGTGAAGGTTTATTACATGCACATACATTCAGACTTGTACACTGTTCTGTACACATATGCCATCTATAGGAGATGACATCTCCCTGTGCTGGCTCTTGGTTTTATCACCTATCTGGAATTTTCTCTTCTCTGGATTCTGCTAAGCTGTCCTCCCTACCTGCAGCTCTGCCAGGTTGCCCCAAGCCTTTTCCTTTGCCAGAGAAGAGGGCTAGGATGTGTGTTTTTCCCTTCACATACAGGCTGCGTAGGCACAACCGGACAGGTTGCACCCTCCTGGCCTTGCCCAGGCCCGTCAAGAATGGTGGGTGAGATGGCTCAGTCTCTGTAAGGAAGGACTAGTGGAAAGGTGGCTAGGTCTATGTGCAGTGTGGTCATTGGGTTTTTGTACCTAAAAGAATATGGCTATTCTGTTCCAATGAAAGGCCTTCCAGACTGGCCCTAAGACACAAAAAAAGCTCAGCAGTGGAGGCCTTGCTAAGACAAAATTCCTGAACTACCATAGGCACCTGTTCTCATTCCCTGTCCCAGACTCCTGAGGTGTAAGAGGTGAGGCTAAGGGTTGGTTTTATATGAATGGATTGGGAACAACAATGTGGGTCCCTCCCAGCCCCAGTGTTTGTCTTGTTGTCTTATGTGTCAGACTCCAGGGACACTACTCCTAGGCTCCAAGTTCTCTCCCTCCCAGGACTCTTAGAACTTCCTGGGAGTGAGGCTGACCAAGTCCTGCATCTCTGCTTGCTCTGCTTATCTCATAGTGATTGTCTATAGCCCCTACTGGCCTTGTGCCAGGCTGGGCCTATCTATCATCATGAATGGGGATGATGATGGAGGAGGAGCCTTGTTAGGAACCTCAATGGTTTTGAATGTCAGGGTGTGGGACAAGTGACTCTAGGCACCTTTCCCCCCCCCCCCGCCTTTCTGGCAGAATTGGGGATTGAATTTAGGACCTCATGTTTATTAGGTGGGTGCTCTACCACTTGAGCCATCCTCCATTCCTTTCTGGTCTTAGTCTCTTTTACAGATAGGGTCTCTCATCACTTTTTCAATATAGAGCTAGACTACAATCATTCTGCCTTCCCTTCTGAATATTAAGATAACAAGTATGACCCACCATGCCCAGTAACAACTCTGTACTTCTGTGCCTTGGTTTCCCATCTAGAAAACCACTGCCTAGCTTGACCTTGGAATTCTTTCCCAGCTTGATGGTTGCCTTTCTTCATCACCTCACCATACCAACTCATTTCTACTCCCTTAGCTTCCTCATGTTGGAACTGACAGGGCTAGGATAGGCAACCAGCTCTTTCTGCCTGGGGCAAGCAGCCTTGCCAACTGTTCACCACATGCATGGGGACCCCCCACACCCATGCACTGGCTTACGTAGTTTCAGAGGCTCCTAGCCATCAGCAACTTTCTTAATCTGTGAGAATGTCCTGGAACACTCCCCTAGTTGGCATTAATTACATGACAAACAAATTTTATTGCTTACAAACAGGACTGTTCTGTACCCAAGGAGAAGCACTCAATGGAAAATGTCATTTTGTTTTGTACTTCCTGAGCAAGCCTTTAAGGCTCCATCGGCACAGCCTGGGTGCCTGTTTGCACGGCGATTAATCGCCAGCATTCACTTGAGTGGAAACCAGGCGAACTTTACCACAAGTGGAATTAGTCATTAAAAAGTCATTACCAAATCACCCAGCACAGTGCCTGCTCTTCCTCTAATGACAAAACCATTTCTTGAAAAGGTACAAACAGCAAACTTCTTGTTTTAGATTTTTCTTCTGTGCCAGCTGTTGCTAGCCTGGAGATGTAATAGAGGAGAAGCCTAGTGAAGGGCAGCATTTTGGAGATTTATTGATCAATAAAGGAGACAATTACTGCTTGTTTATGAAAGGAAATCCCCCGCCCCGGCCTCTCACGGCATTGACGCTCTGGTAATGATAACTCCGGTAACCAGCTTGAAACGATAAAAGTCAATGGGAAGATATAGGATTTCAATAAAATTATGACACTCCATAAACCTTCCATGGAAACAAATTTTCCCCAGATATGTGGCCAGTTGCAGTTGGATTTGTAACTTTAATTTCTCACTTATTGAATTTTTTGTCATCAACTAATTGTGAAGTCCATGCTGGGGTGACAACTGTGTCCCTGGCTCTGGAGAGAAAAGAGCACAGACCCAGTAGCCAGAGGCTGTGCATGTGATGGGCTCAGGAGAGGGCTGGTAGGGCTTCCCAGCATCCCTGCAATTCTCACTGTCACTCACAAGTGAAGGGACACTTGAGAAGCTGAAGTAGGAGTGTGGGATAGTTGATGTGGTCACTGAGCCTTTAGGCTGGTCTGTCCTGGGGAATACCATTGGGCCACAACATGTAGACACAGAATGCTGCATGGGGAGAGACTTTGACAATTGAGGGGTGGGGAGTGGTACTCCAGGTGGTCTGAGTACGCAGGTTTCATTTGGGCCATGATATTCCCTTTGAGCCAGTGCTGGTGCAGGCAGACTGCAGCTCTCACCTGGGCCACTGCTGGCCAAGGACACCACAAGGTCTGCCAGAGCTGGTTCTTACCTTTTCCCAAGCTCCTTGCTTAGAATGTTTGTGTTGGGGAGAGTGTGTAGGGCTGCCTATAGCCCACTAGTACCTGCCAGCATGGGCAACGTTGTCATTCTATGTGTAAAACAGCAAGACAACCAGTTGCTTCTAGGGCTGCTTGCTGGATGCTGTCTGGACAGTCACTGATCTGCACAGCTGTTATGTGACACTCCTCTTACTCCTGGAGGACATGAGATATGAGGGGATTAGATAGCTCACTTCTGTAAAACTGAAATTTGATTCAGGGTCTCACAAGCACTGCCCCCCAGAATACCTACTGCTAGCCTCTTGAATAGCAGAGCCCAGGCAGAGACACTAAGCCCACCAGTGGCACATCTGTGGGACCATTCATGTGTGTGGGAAGCAAAGAAGCCAAACCCATACCCCTAGGCCTCTGGAGGAAGGCTTCACTGACCCCAGCTGGGTCATCCCCTGAGCTTAGGAGCTGACAGAGCAACTGAGGGGTCCCTGGCCTGAGTCTTCTGGGGTGGGTTCCCTCTACCTGGTGCAGTAGAACCCAGTGGGCATGTGATTTGAGGTACATTGAGATCCCATTTAGGAGGGCAAGAAGGCAGGGAGCAGCCCTGTGGAGATGAAGTTTTCTCAGTGATGCTGTGCTCCTTATGTGGCCTCTGAGCAGCTCAGGGCTCCTCTTCTCCTCAGGCCTCCCTGCAGGCTTGTAGAGGGCATTCCCCTTCAGGCCCATGTGGAGGATCTCTCCAGTGTCCGAGGCAAGCATGACTCAGTGCTGGCCAGGAAGAAGCTGTCTTCTCTCCCAGGCCCCTGCAGTCAGCATTTCTAGTGGGTCACAGAAGAACAGGAACCTCTGTTATGGCATTTACTCCTGACTCTGCAGTCTGTCACCCTAGGACACCTGTGATCCTTGCCTGTCCCAAGAGAGGAGGCTGGAGTACTGGACACGATGGGTGGCATTGTGACTCATCATCCATTAGTTCAGACAGAGGACAGAGAAATCAGTGAGACCACGGTTGTCCAGGGGAACTCTGGCCTCTCAGGGAGCTTGCATTGGGCTGAGCAGTGTCTTTTCCCTGTGAACTGGTGGTGGCAGCCCTGCTCAGCTGGGTCCTACCTTCCAGACTCCTGGCTGTTCCTTGCCACCCTGAATGTTTAGTGGTTGAAAGTCACAGCAAGGGGTGTCCAACCTGGTATGTCAAAATGAGCACTGAGGCCAGGGTGGGCTCCTAGGACCTGGCCCAGGTAGTACAGAGTCAGGAAGCTGCAAACACTGGCCCTCCCCAGCAGGTGCTCTGGAGACAGGTGCTGTCAGTAAGGAAATACAGCCCTGAATCTTGAGTTCTGAAAGGGCCTCCATGAGAGAGCCTGAGCTCCTGTCTCTATTCCTCCAAACCATTTCTATCATTGCTTCCCTACTTCTGCCTTCACTCCTGACCCCCACCTTTTACCCACAGGAGCGGGACGGCATGCGGGCTATCCTGGGATCCTATGACAGCGAGCTGACGCAGGCTGAGTACTCACCCCAGCTGACACGCCGTCTGCGTGAGGCCGAGGACATGGTGCAGAAGGTGCACGCACACAGCACAGAGATGGAGGTGGGTCTGCTCACAGGGCTGTGGGAAGGGTGGGCACTTGTGCACCTGGTCAGGCCACTTTAAATCTTGTAATGTTACCGGGCTATCAGAGGATCCCAGGAAGCTTTTGCCAGCAGGCCTGTGATGCGGGGAGTTATTGTAAGCCAACGCCTCCAGATGGATTTGTCACTTTGAGGTGGTCCTGGGCCTGGTCCACAGTTCTGTGGGCAGCTTCACTGGCACTGGGAGAGGGGGTTTGGGCTGGGCTGCTGCATGTGGTTTCTCCTTGCTGTCTATTCTTGCCTTGCCCTGTCCTGGGGTTTCAGGTGCTCTACAGTCCTCTTAAGTAAGGGCAGCTTATATCCTCTTTTCTTTCATTATCTTGTGGGTGCTCCCTGAAGTCTGTGTCTTCTTTTAGTGTCATGAGAGCAGAGGGAGAGTTCTGTTTTAGAAAAGTGTGATTTGCTCTTAGGTCCATCAGGCCTCACAGCCCAATTTGTAGCTATGATCAGAGTATATACTAGGGACAGCTGGTCAGAGCCCCATAATGCTGTTCCTCCCTAGCTGGCTGAATAGGCTGGGGCCTAAGGAGGCCCCCAAGGCTTTCTTCAAATGACTTTCAGCGTAGAGGGAGAGACGCCTGCCCTTCCCTTCCCTGTCCTGCCCCGCTGTGGGAAAAGAGATTGTGGTGGGATCCTGGGCACAAAGCAGGGCTTCCTGGCTGCCAGGAAACTGCCACAGCCGCACGCACGCACACACGCACTGACACTGCTGGTACTACTCTGCTCAGCTCTGAGCTTGTTGCGTCTGTTGTTCAATCAGACTCACTGCACCCTGCAGGCAGGAGCATGGAGTTGGGCTATGCTGCTTGCATCACTGTCGTAATTTTGCCCACAAGGAAGGTGAGGCCCAGGGGTGTATCTGAGTCCCTGAGCTGCTGAAGGATATGGTAAGAAATGGGGCATAGATCAGCAGGCCCCAGCATTCTAGCTCTGCACTGCTGTTCTGCCCACCCTGCATACGCTGGGTCCATGGCTTTGCAGTCCATGTATGGCCCACAAACACTTTTGTGTGGTATTAGTATTCTTTAATTAGATGCTAGCATGGTCTGTTATTCCATCGAGGCAGCTATCTCCACTCCCCACTTAGCCAGTTTGGGGTCACCTCTGATGTCCAATGTGAAGAGACAGCCTGTGATCCTCAGAAGAGCCAGGCTTGCTGTATGACCAGTTGCTCCTAGTGTTAGCCATTGTTGTAAGTACATGCCACCCAGCCCCTTCCAGGGAGCATCTGACAGAGCTTCTGTCCATTGGTGCTGAGCTGGGTGAGGGAGACATTTGATAAACAAGTATGCATTACTTAATGTGGTAACAGGTGCTGTTGTGGAAAGCAGGCTTGATTCAGATAAAGGAATGGTCCAGGAGCTACATGCCATTGGTTCTTGGGTTGTTATGATCAGGGTATGAGAGCAGTGTCCCTGAATGCCTAAGAAAATGCCTGGCATGTGGTAACACTGCTCCATGATGGAGTGGGGGCCTGGGCTACACTCATCCTTTCTGCCTCTGGCTTATACTGAGGCTACACGGGAGCCAAACCATCGTTTTGGTTGCTTTGCTGTGCCCCTCCCTGCCTGGAGAGCAGCCCTCACTCAGCACTGTTGGCAGTGTGAACCTGATGGACCAGGAGCAAGGGAACTCCAGAGGTCCTTGCTGACCTGCAGCCTCCTACTTCTCATCAGTGTCCAGCTGCCAGAGAGGGGCCCGTTGGGGCCTGCTGAGAATTGCTGTGCACAGACCCTCTGAAAGGTTAACTCCAGCTGCAGTGAGTGAAATCATCATAAATATAAGTGCGCTAATAGCCATTTTATTACCACACACTTAGCTCCATATGAAATGTTAATGAAGAGAGATTTGCAGGGAAGGCTCTCTGACACCTTGTGTGTCCCTGGCATTTTTCACAGAGGTCCCGTCTGTGCTGGCCATATGCCCTCTATGCAGGTTCGCATGAGCCTGGCAGCTTGGGCACAGCCAGTGCCTTATGTTCTGCTGTCTGCCCTGTAATCAGAACTCGATTAGGATATACTTGCTGCACAGGGGCTTTGCCACCACCCTGCTTAAGGGGGGTGTGTTGGAATCCCTTCTCTGTGGTGAGACATGAAGACTACAGGTTGTTCCCTTTTTTGTCTGTCTCCTGGAGTTGGAGGAAAAATGTAGGTGAGGGCCCAGCTACTGCCACCACCATTCTTGCTGTTCCTCCCATCACTGTGGGCTCCATGGGGCCAGTGTGGGCATAGGGTAGGGACTGAGATGCTTCTTCCCTCTCCTGGTCCATCAGGTCTGTTTCTCCGAGGTGCATGCTCTGAAGGCTCTCCTGGAGGCAGGCTGGTGCCTCTGACCTTCCTTCTCTGGACCTAATCTGCACCACCTCTCTGGGGATGTTGGGACCAAGACATTGCAGAAAGTCCTACTGATGGTTCTCTGCTGTCCTTCTGCCCCTCCTGGCCTGTCTGCCAGTCATCACCTGTGGCTTCATGGCCTGCTGCCTCATCTCCTTGAGGGTGGGTCCAAGAGTTCTTGTCTTGAGTAGCTGGCTTCATTACCTTCAACAGGAGCCTTCCCATCTCAGTGTGCTACTACCTGGGAGGAGGTAAATAAAGCTCAGGGTGGCAGCCTCAGCCTTAGTGGAGTAGCACTGGACTCCACTGGACTGGAAAGAATCCTGCATGTGCCCTGGAGCCTTTCAGGGTAGAAAGCTGTGAACCTTCTGCCTCCACCAGGTGGCAGCAGCAATGCCCACAGTTTACTTCTGAGCGCAGGGAAGGCCAGCCTGGTGCTGGGAGCAGCCAAGTCCTGGGAAGGCCTGGCTTTGGGTGAGGATAAGAGCCCCACTGCTGGAGGGGGAGAGGGGCGGTCTGCTGTGGAGGGAGTGTGAGAAAGGTGGAGTTGATCCTTTTTCTTGACTCTCTTGCTCATCTCCAAGGACTTCTTGTCTTCTCCCCTGTCTTGGGCCTATACTAAGGAGAAGGATACCCTCTTCCTCCTCATTCTTCCTCCTCATCCAACTGCCCCTGACCCAATGTCTATAGAATCAGAAGGAAGGGAGCACCCTGTGCAGTGAGGGGTGGGTGGGAGTGAAGCTGGACACGAGGGGCAGAAGGGGAATGTGCTGCCTCTGGTGTAGGCTTGGGTTGGCTGGCAGGGTGGAGCCACCTGGGCAGCACCTAGGAGACTGGTGTGGGGCCTTGGGACCCTGATGATGCCAGAGGGGTTCCAGGGTAGCACTCTGCCAGGCTCATCACTACCCCCAATTGGCAGACTTTCCTGTTCCTTCCTTGGTGTCCTCCCTATACTTTTCCCCTTAGGTGAACATGCTTACTCAGCCATGGGAGCTACACAGTGTAGAGACCTACTTCCTGCCCTGGGCCTGAGGACTGCACTTGTAGCTGGCCTGGCCTTGGGGACCATGGGAATAGTGGGAGGGCATGTGTCCTGTTCGAGGAGGCTGCTTAGAGTGTACTAATAGGCAGGAGTTGGACTAAGCAGCCAGGGAGGCTCAGCCCCTAACGGACCCCACAGTCCACAGTGGCTGGATGCTGGCCTGGGCTGCAGGCTCTGGGCCAGAGACCTGGGAGGCTTTGGCAGTGGGCTTTCCATTGCTTATTAAACAGTAACATTTCACATATTAGATGCTCTCTTAACTGTGCACACTTGGAGAGCTTTAAAAGCTACTTCATGCTGCCTGCCAGGAGTTTATTAGTTGAGCATCTTGTATTGACACAGTAATACAAGTCCTTCTTGAAGATCCTTTAGTGACTCCCAGACAAGTGAGCATCTCTTGTGACCAAGATGTGAGCACCTTCTAAGTCACAGCAGCTTCTGCTGTGTGGCAGAGAGGCCAAGGGTGTTGGGGGAGATGTTCCACTATGCAGGGCAGGCTGTACAGTTGATTCACTGTCAAGGGATAGAAGATTACCCCCACCACCACCCCCAGCCCCCACCATGGTCTAGAATAGGGTCCAGGAACCTTCTTTTTAGCCAAAGGATAGATACTTATAACATCATTGCAGGTGCCATATAAATTTACCAATACAGGTAGACAGTCACAGGCAGTGAATGAAAAGCATATGTATCTGTCCTATCACATACCAAATGACTTTGTGGGCCTTACATGACTGGGGCTGGGTGTTTCTCATTCCTGGTCTAGAAAGAGGACTCCAGGACAACAGGTAGAAGGATAAACACTCCTTGCCCTGTGGTTCCCAGTGCTCTCTTGTCTCCCACCTCACCGATTTTATGTTTTCTCCCTAGTCTTCTTCCCTTTCCCTCTATTTGTCTGTACTCCTTTTCTGTCTCCAGATTGCTTTCTTCTGTTCTCTCTCCACTATCCCTCACCCTCAAGCTCCTCTCTTCTCCCTCCTCAGTAGGCAGGCTTCTCCTGTGAGCTTGTGTGCTCCCTCCTGGGAGCAGGGCAGGCACGGGCTACAGGACTGGCTGCAGCAAGTTGGAATTCCTCCTCCTTCGCAGTGCCATCTTATCTCCCTGTTTACCTTCCTCCGTCTGCTTTGACTGCAGCAAAAGCATTTCAGCAAAACAAACTGGAGATGTTGCTGGGAGAATCCCAGTGGCCCATCTCTGGTAAGGTCTGTGCCATTTTGCACAGATTTTATTTATTCCACTTAATAAAGCGGCTGAGGAAGTTCGTAGCAGATGTCTCGATCCTATCGATGGAGCTATAAATATGAGCGCATGGCACCTTGATTCCACACATCGGCCTGATTTGTTTCCAGTTTATTTAATTAAAACCGATTACAGTTCTGCTGGCTGTGTGATATGTGGAAAACCCTAATTTCACATTGCAGTAGATATAGAAAATTTCTACTTCAGCTTAGGAAAACTAGGCCTTTCCATCTTCTCCCTTCCTCTCTACTTCCATGGGGCTCAGATGGCACAGTCTGTTCCTTAGTTCTTTATTCACTCACAAATGTAAGTACCTACTGCTCTTCTGTATAAAGAACATGAGAA